GAATTAAAAACACTCTACCAAAAATTTCCTTATATTTGTGTATAATCAAATTTTTTTTTAAAAAAATCATCTTTAAATAAGTACGAACTTATTTAGGTTATATGATTTTTTTTGAATTATATTGAAAAAAGGTGCATTCAGAAACAATTAAATTCTTTTTTTTATTTATATTTAATTGGTTAAAATTAGTAATTTAAATACAGACTATATTCATTTTATTTATAATTTTTGTTATTATAATTATATAATTAATTACACATATAATATTATTAGTGTATATTATCTTTCTAAAAAATAATTAATTATATTAAAATATCATAATATAAGAAAATCACATATTAACGAAGAACAATTTCTTCTTTAATCCTTTGTTAATCAGGTTTTTTTTTTAAGAAGTTAGCGAAGGAGTAATGAAAGAGCATTCCCAAACTAAATATATGTAGTTAGGAACTTTACTCCTTACTAATTCATAGCAAATTTTATTGCGAATTCCTTGCTAAATATCTCATTAATTGTATTAAATATATTTAACGTATCCCTTATTAATTAACAATATTTCTTGTTATTTCTAACTAATGATTTGCAAAATATCTCTCTTTAATCTATAACTATTATCTTGCAACTTTTTTTTTCATAAATCCCTCTTTATTTCCTTACTACACTTTCCTAGCTATTCTCTCATAATTTTCTCATTGAATATCCCTAGCAAATATATCATCATGCCTTAACTATTATTTGAACATGTTGTTTGCTATTTTGTAGTTATTCCGTCGTTATGAATTAATCATTTCCTTCCAAATCTTTCACTATTATCTAACAAATTGTCCATAGTTAAACCATAACAAATCTTTCACAAGATATCCCAATCGATTTTCTAGCAAATCTCTCACTGTGATGTTTCAATTATCTTTGTTATCCCTCACTTTGTTGCAATTTCTTTTTATTCAATTTTTTTACACTTTTTTATTCAATTATTCTACATTACCAGCATTTTATACACTAAAACTTTTCAATTATTCAGTTGTGATATTAAAACATGTATTTTTGCATATCAAATTTATATTTTTTTATCATCAACTTATTGCATCAAATAAAATAAAAATTTAACATCAAGTATTATTAAAAATTGATTAAAGCAATTCTAAATTACTAACATGATAAAAATGCTTAATGTCAACTAACATAATAAAAATACTCTAAGTTAACAATGTTAATATAACCAAAAAAAAAAACAAAAAATTAAATTTAATGAAACTAGAATTCAACATTTTCATTATTAATTATTTCAAAAAATTTTTTTTTAATGAAACTAGAAAAGTCAACATCTTCAACTATGAACTTATCAAATCTAAAGACTACGATTTAATATAGAGATAATTTCAAATTAATTAGAAGATTATTTATAATAAAATTAAATGTATATAGTATTAGCTAGATAAAATTAATAATAATCTTTACATTAAATACATATGAATTTATTAAATTTATGTTTCAGAAGAAGAAAAAACTATTCATGTCTTTTTAAGAGTGACAGTTGGATAGAATAGATAGGGGATAGAATTAATAATAAATTTTACCTTAAATGCATATTATTTGTTATTTTTTATTAATTTATTAAATGCATCCTTTAGGAAAAAATCATTCATGTGTTATAAAAAGAAATATAATAATTAAGAAAATAAAGAAGATAATATGAGAGCAAAAAATCAAACTGATGTGTGATGTATTATTTATTAAAAAAAATCGTATATTTATAAGTACATATGATAACTGAATAATTATAAAAGAATTAATAATACATAACATAATTATAAATGGTGATAATGTGTTTTAAATATGGATAACTATTAATTTAGTCACAAATTATTATTTGCAGCACTCCTCTTTAGATGTTTATTATTTTATAATGTGTCTCGTTAACATCTTATTAGGAAAATTTTTGTTGGATTAAAACTTAATAAAGGAAAAATAGTAGATTATATTCTTTAATATTTATTTCACTCCCCCATGTATACAATCAGTGACGGATCTAAAAATTTTAGATAATGAAAACAATACTTAATCATATATTTGTAATATTAAAAATTTTATATATAACTTTTAAAGGCATAAATATATCATAATTATTTTTTACAAATTTTTATATCTACGATTATAATTAAAGATGAAAATAAATTAGGTCAGATTAAATTTTATTATAATTTAGTAGGTTTGAACCTAACTTTCTTTAAAAATATATATCATAAGTATGACTTATTTATCTATCATATATATTTTTTAAATGTTTGGTTAAAACTATAATCCTAAAGACCTATTTTACAATAATTTAACACTATTAAAAATATAAAAATAAATATGTTAAATTTTATAAAAATCAAATTTAATTTATTTATGATATAAACATGTTTTTTATATCTAATATATATTTTTAGATGATAATTTATATTAAAATATATTTTATAATAAAAATTTATATATATAGTAATTTTAAATTTATTTAATAAGTTAGATTTGGTTAGATTAACGCTAAAATTCAAAGAATAATGAGTTTGATTCAGCTAGGTTATATCTAAACACTTTAGAAACTCAAATTAAATTATTTGGATTGAGTTGGATTGGTTAGTTATATATAGATTTTAGTACCCGTGAACAACTCACTAAATTAATAGCTTAATTTTGCTTTTCTGCAATTTAAAGGAAACAAGTTGAAAATAAAAATCAATACCCAAACAAATTTAGGTAACAAATTGAGAATATCATTATAATAAGTCGAACATTGGGTGTAATGATTCCCCAGCACTTATTTGATCATTAATTTGGACTGCACTATACACACAAGATATATATATTATCACTTGCAAACAATATCACATTTACATATGCGTTTATGTTGAGAACTATTATCTTTACAAGAGCAATTCATAGGCATGGCACTTGCTCCCAACAATGAAAGGAATTCTTCAAAGCAGCTTCTTCCTGAAGTCCCCAATGGACATGACCCATCAAACGTCATCTCTTTCGGGCAAAAACGGATCTCTCCTGTAGTGTTACACATTATAAACAACAAAATTAATACTATTACTGATTAATCACAATTCAATTTAACTAAAATATATGTACTATCTTTGGGAAATTCATATGAATGACAAAGAACAACGTCGTATGAATAATAATAGTTGTACCATAGGCGTGGCTGAAGAGAGCCAACACTGTGCACACAATGAGGAGAGTGCTTGATAGCTTCATGATGATATTTGCTTCAACACAATTTTCTTAACTTCAACTCTTCAAATGGTTGCACATTGTTGCATCCAAACAAGAGAATATATAGGCATGTAGCCATGTATCTCTTGGAACGGTATTAGGAGAAGTAATCATCATTTTCAAAACAGAAACTATACGTATTGGGAGAAGTAATGATTATTTTCAAAACAAATATAACAGTTACACCCAAAATAATATAATAAAATTCATAAGATTATTTTAGCATAAAAGAAAGCTTCATAAATTTTAAAAGATTTTGTAAAAGTATTTTGACTTTAAAATTTTTTTAAAAACTTTTACACTTAAGATTTTGTAATATAGATTTTAATAAACTTATATCATAACAAATTAAATTTATATTAGGAGAATGACCATTATTTTCAGAACAAATATAAATTACATTGAAAATAATATATGAAGTGTATTGGATTAGTATTTTTTAAGATTATTTAAGCATAAAAAGATCTTGTAAATTTTAAAAGATTTTATAAAATATATTAATTTTTAAGATTTTTTTTAAATAACTTTTGCGTTCAAGATTTTATAATATAAATTTTATTGTATTTATATCAT